TCACTCAAGTACACACACTTCTAAACACAATATCCTAATGTTTTTTCCCTTTCAGAAGAATACTGAGCCACTTATCCTTTGTAGCTTTCCGTCTGTGATGGACCTGGAGTCGAAGAAATATGTTTTTGACCAGAATGCTGAAACACCAAGGTAACTCAAGCCTTGTTCTGTACCTCATGAGAATACGCCTTCACACACAATAAAGTCAGGTCAAGAAATGTCCACGTAAACCTTTTTCATTGTGTATCAGCTCTGCCTGATGAGTATATGTTTTCCATGTGACAAACACAGTGAAGTAAGCTGTCAGTTACACAACAGAAACATTTTAAAATAAGCAATAAGAAATTAAATCTGTAATTGTCCTGTATACCAGAATGAAGCACAGCAACCCGTCTTCTGGGAATTATTTTGGGAATTCGGATTCCCTATGCCTCGAGACGTGGTTTTTGAAGTCGACGTGAAGCGAGGATCAGTTTTGAAAGACACCTTTGAAATTTGGCTTCTATAAATCAGAGTGACTACAAGATTCCACTTATGGTAATAAACATGTAGTTTTTCTGCGTAAAGTCACACAAAAAATCTTGCATCATTGTTTATTGACTCTTGTATGAGCTGCTGTATCATTTTTTTGCCTTTCATCTTGTAGGTTTATTATGATGGAAACTTGCCCGGCTGGGACGATTTTTATGGCTACGTGAAAGACTTTTTTTACGAAGTGTTTCACGAGATGGTTTCAGCTGAAACCGGGATGTTCATGTACAATGACTCCAAGACACTGGCATGGTTCCCATCCAAAGTAAGACGATACGTATGCAATGATAAAAAGGATCCAATGATCATACCACAACAATAATTGTCATCCTGGTATTTCTCCACTTTTCTGTTAAAAATTGTCTCTCCTAACAACACCAGGCAGCGCCAGAGGACCAGAGGTACCTACACTTTGGGGTTCTGTGTGGATTGGCCTTGTACAACCAGTGTATCATTCACTTACCATTCCCGCTGGCTCTGTTCAAGAAGCTGCTGGGTGAAGCCTTCCTGGGGGATATGATGGAATTCAGCCCCTTTGTTGGAAAGTAAGGACATTCATTTAAATCACACACATGTTGGGTTTGACGTGCAGATTTTTGGTCATAATACAGTACATTGTAAAGCATCTTAAATATAATTCCTTTTATCGGGTTTCAAGGGGTCTGAAGAACATTCTGGAAGACTACACAGATGATGAAAAAGGAATCCTCGACTTGGATTTCTCAGTATGTGTTTCAGTCTTCATCCTCTTTCTGATATCATCTGACAACAGATATTTATTTCCCAAAGCAGTGATTTCACTTTTTCTGTTGATCACCAGATCTACTGGGATGGAACAAACGTTGACCTTGATCCTCAAAATCCTGAGAAGCCTTTGACAGGTCTAAATAGGTAAGAGCAATGAAAGCATTTCTTTGACTTCCTTGTGTGTTTTGTTATTTGTCATCAGATTACAATCTTAAATAGTATGTAAATTAACATCTTGGGTTGGGACTAAAAACGTTAAAATGTATGTTTTCGAATCGATCAGGCTATAGGCTAAGCTACCGGCTATAGCCACGTTCATTCGCTTGATTTGCGGCCACCAGGGGCCGAATTCACATTTATCTGCGTCTTCACATTGACCTTACATGTAGCCCTGCAAAGGTTGCTTCGCATCCAGTGTGAACGCCTTATGGTGCATAAGGCTTATATTGTAGAGAACTATAAAAGAAGAGAAATGACTAAAACAATAAGCTTAAAGATACAATATAACTTTGTAGACAGAATTTCTCATAATTCATTGCTTTACCTGCTAGGAAATACCTTTCAAATCTAATCATTCTTTCTTTTCCTGCCGCTAACCTGTAAAAAGATATTGAATACATTGATTGATTCATTTACATCAGTCTTGGTATGTGTAACACTATAATCAGCCCCGGCTCAGTCTTATCTTAATCATAGCTGAAGAAAATGATGCAGAGATTGCAATATCCTCCTGTCAGAGCATAGTTTGACAGGATCTGAACCTGATCTTGTGAACTTGTAACTTTAATCTGCTGAACAGGAAGGAGTATGTGGAAGCCTACGTGAGCCATGTCTTCAACCACATCAGTGGAAGGTGTGTTTCAGGAGTTCAAGCGGGGCTTCTTCCAGGTGTGTGACCAGGATTTGGTGAAGCTGTTCCGACCACAGGAGCTGCAGGAGGTGCTGGTGGGCAAAGACTTCAATGACTGGGCCAGGCTGAAACAGGTACAGTCCAAAACAAGAGCTACTCATGTTCTAGTTTTCTCTTAAACCTGCCCCATCCTTCTATGCTTGATTTAAATGCTAAATATATAAGAAGTATTTGTCTGTTTCACTGTATTTAGGTCACAGTTTATGAGAGGAAGTACAACACGACCCCTCTACACCCCACCATACAGATGTTTTGGGAGGTTTTTGATGATCTTACGGAGGATCAGAAGAAAGCTTTCCTTTGTAAGTATAGCACCTGATTTTAACACATCAAAACATGACAAATTATAATTTTCATGAAGCATTAATGTAGATGGTTCATGAAAGTTTTACATTTACTATGTACACTTAATATCTGGTAAGTTATGTAACTGGTGGTTTCTTGGAGTCAATAAAATGTCTTATAGTTGCTTTAAAATCTTCTAATGAGCCACTAAAGTGGTGCAGGAATGTGTCCTAAAACCCGGAAAGACTTCTTCCACATCTTACAGGCATATTATCAATTCTGGTTCCCTTGTCTTGTCAAAGTCAAAATACGTCAGCTTCTGTGTCATATTTTGTGCAGCATGTGACCATCATGTACGTTGTATAGCCTAATTAGCTTTTTACTTCTGGCAACTGTTCTAAGCTTCTATGTGTCATATAAATGGCGGTTGCTAACAAGGGAATAAATACATTTTAAGTGTCATTACGCCAACACAATCCGCTCTTTAGCTTAGCAGTGTTGATGCACAGCCATGTCAATTTGATGTTGTTTAGCAATATGTTTATTATATATCATTATTTCTGCTGTTACATTTACGCTTCATAAATCTTCAAGTGGTGTTAATATGTGGAGATTATCCTGCCTAACAGAACATGTTAAGTATCATAAACGTGGGTTTGCAACAAAGCACATTTTCTGTAATTTATCGTAATCCAATGGGAAAATCCCATTGTTTTTTGTCAAGCCTCCGAAAACACGTCAACACTGCACCACTCTATTGAGCGGGAATACATACAGTCCAAAACAATAAGCAACTGTTGGTCTAAAGGGCAACAAAGGTATTTTATTGAGAAAAGTTTTCAACTAGAAAAAAACTCTCAAACTGAATTGATAGTTTGAGGGGTATACTTTGATGATTTGCTTTCAAAAAAACATTCTGCTCTCCCATTTTTACCAGGTGTTTTATTGGCCGGTGTGTCCATAATCTCCTCACTTAAATAAACGTTCTACATGTAGTTGGAAGTTCACAGCAAGTCACAATTAAACTAAAATCATTCAGGTCTGATTTATAGGAAGAGCAGTGCTGGTCTTAACAACAAGGATTTCACAGAAACAAATAGAAAGTAAAAAACTCACTGATTACCACTTCTCCCTCCTCCAGGGTTTGTGACCGGATTTGAAAGGGTGCCTGTTCTTGACCTGGAGAAGTTCAAGATGAAAATCAGAGATCAACAAGTCCAAGGCCCCCCTGACCAGTTCTACCCCAAAGCAGATACGTGTTTCTCGGACCTGGAGCTGCCCTTGTACTCAACCAAAGAGATCATGCAGACCAGGCTGACCGAGGCTCTGAGCAGCAACAAAATCATCTTTGCTGGGACTGAACTCGGAAGGTGTCTGGTCTGAACAGAAGACTTAACATTGTCATAGAGCACTTTGTAAACCAAGAAGCAGCCTTTGTAGTATTGCTACTATACCTGTTTATTAACAAACTGTATGGCTGGGAAATTCTTCATAAATAGGATGTATTGTGTGGTGGGTTAATATCAGAAATCCTTCCCTAATAGCAAAAACGCTGTTATACTCCAAAAAAATGTTGAATGTATATATGCATATTTCAGAAAAACGCCCTATGTACATATTTAAGTATTACATGATCTTCTATAACGGACCGTCTCCACAGCAGCGTTAAAAAAATCTTGGAGGTGGGCGTATCTGAGGCTTGGGGATTTTTTTGCGATCAACCAATCACATGAATCTCCCGCCCGCGACATACGAAGCCAAAAAGTCCGAAGTAAACTGGATATAAACTCCCCAAAACAGGCGAAAACATACCACTGTCTCTGCCACCTCCCTCCATGCCTGGCTCCTCTGGTTTATATCCCGGTAGGTCTGGTCATAAAGCACCGGGTGATTGATTCGCTACCGCTAATTTCTCCTCCATTTTTTGGAATATGAGGAAATGACCTGCGGTATGTCTCTCCCAGCATACACGCCGTTTGATTGGCTAGAGCTTGAACTGCCAGATTTGCGTACACGGGATTTGATTGGCTGCCGCTTCCACCTCAGCTTCAAAAGTTGAACATTGTTCAACTTTGAATCTTGAAAATCCTGAGAATCTCCGCTCGCCTGCCCACAATGCATTTCGGCGAAAAGTGAGGGAAAGTGACGTCACCCCATTCAAAGTGAATGGGCAGAAGCGTTTCAAGATTTTTTAACGCTGCTGTGGAGACGGCCCGTTAGGGTGTGACTTTTTAAAATTATTTTGGTAAGTTAACAATGTAACAAATGTTACATACAATATGTTTAAACATAATACTCCTTTGTGTTCCGGAGACTTTTATTGTTGAGTTAAGTTTTTCAAAACCTTAATATAGGAATAATTTGTTAATTAACATTATACTGTATGTTGATGCAATAAAAATGACTTCCTTCTGTGCTCCTCGGCTGTTGAATAACTGCTAAAACATACACACATCTTAAGATATAACACTGCACTGTGGAACTGGTTTATTTACTGCAGAATCTCCTCTTATATAATTTACTGTGAAATAATCACCTCATACATAATATGTTAGGTCATATTTTTATGCATATATTTAATAATATGAATGTAAAAAATGACCTTTAATCTTTGATGATTGGGTGTGAAAACTCTACCTACCCTCATCCTGTATAGTGTAGCGGTAAAGCAGTAGGCCTATTCGACAATTGTTAATTGCTAATTTACCAAGCCCAATGTTATTTTGAACAAAGTATTGGGAATTAGTTTCTTCCATATACAAACGTATAACTAAAAAATAATTGTCAAACACAATGTAATAACTAAATATCTGTTTTTTTCTCATTATCCCACTGTCTAGTTATAGGACCCCCCTCCTCCTCTCAAGGTGTTTGGTTCTTTCCAGGTGGAACAATTACTTTATGGGACTGTATCTCGAAGGTATAAAGATATTTGTAAACTGTTGGTGCATTGCTCCGAGTTATCTTTTCACCAACTATTTTAAGGAAACAAGTTTATTTATGTGTTGCTCTTTTCCTTACTTAATTGCAGCGGTGGGAAGTAACTAAGTACATTTACTCAAGGACTGTACTTAAGTACAATACTTGTCCTTTACTTGAGTATTTCAATGTTATGCTACCTTGTACTTCTACTCCACTACATGTATTTAATACCTAATTTAGTTACTTTGCAGATGTGGATGAATGATGTGAAATATAATCAAGTGTTAAATCAGACTTTAGTTCCACCTGGAGTAAATTCACAAGTTACCCTGCAGTATCCAAAGTCATTCAAACTAGCTGCACCTTTACCAGCTTTGAGAACACTTTAATGATCAATCATTATAAAACATATCATATATATTATTCTGAAATGGACCAATCTGCATAAAGAGTATTTTTACTTTTGGTACTTTAAGTATATTTGATGCCAAGACTTGTGTACTTTTACTTGAGTAAGATTTTGAATGCAGGACTTGTACTTAACACAGTACTCCTACACTCTGGTACTTCTACTTTTACCTAAGTACACGATCTGAGTACTTCTCCCACCTCTGAATATTTTTATATCTCTGTAAAGACAACATTGCATAAATGATTTTGATATCTTGTTTTGATTAAATGATCTCAATGCCTCGTAGAAGAAAAAGGTAATGGGCATAAGGAGCTGTTTTTAAGAGAATGAGTTGTATCTGCTGTGCTTTTCATCCTACTAACAGAGTTGTACGTTTTTTAATCTATTTTCTCCCTTTAGTCATTGAACCTCCCTTATCTACCTGTTGTAGGCTACACAGTAACAGACTTCATGAACTCCAGTTTCACTTTGATTGATTGATTGATTGAAAAGTTTATTAACAGCTTGTATATTGGGTACTATTAGAAGTATTCAATGTTCTCGCGTCCAGGAGAGGAGCTTAGAATGAAGAGACTAATGGAGTCTCCGAAAAGGTTCAAATTGGTGAGTTTAATTAAATGGCACGATGATACAACAAGCAGAGGGTAAGGGAAAAGACAAAGCCGGTGTTGTCTCTGGTGGCTGCAGCGAAGAAGGAGTCCTGAATTGTCCTCTGTCCTCTGTTTTTATGCACGTCTCGTTGTCCCCCGCTGTGCAGATAGTGGGACCTCCCTTCTCATCTGTGGGTTCGATATCGCAAGAGACCAGATGATTTCGACATTTGGTTTTCTCTGCCTACTTCCTTAAGCATTTTCTCCTCCATATCTCTGTCATGACTTTCTATTTAATACCTTATAAACAGCTGTAATCGTTAGTTTAGAAGTCCTAAAAACACCTCTTATGGCACGTCATAGCTCCTCACGTAATGTGTAAACACTCCATGATCAACTGTTCCTTCATTTAATATTCAGCAGTAATAATACCTTAACGTCTATCGATGTAGTGTTAAAGTCCGTACGATTTGGTGTGTAACACTCCAAGTCATTTTCACTTTACATTCAGAAAACGTAACATTAGTCACATGCTAACCGGATAAAGGATTTTCAGAATAAAAGCTTGGCATTGATTTCCTGAGAACTTCCGGGTTTTTCCACAATAAAACAGCTTTAAACTGACGATATATTTTAGACTGAATTATGCTGTTTAACATTGATTTTAATTTCTAACAGTACAGTACAGTACAGCTCAAAACATACAATTGTTAAGGGGATGCAGACCAGAGAAAGACTTTCGTCTTGTTTACATCAGGGTCCCCCATTTCCAGTGGCGACTGGTCATTAGGGGCAGGTGGGGCACAGCCCCACCTAGTGTCAGCAGAAAGTATTACAAATAATGATTACAAAAATGCAAAAAAATAAATAAAAAAATATATAAAATATATTTTAAGATCATGTTTAATCATCTGATTCGTCTGTACATTGCTGTTTTAGTCTGTGTTCTTCTAATTAGTGTGTCTACAGTCACAGTGTGTGCCTATTGAGCTGTTTAGAGCCATGTGGGACAAAACCTGATTATGCCCCTTCCTCTCGCTGTGAAGTGAACGGTGACTGTAAAAACTACACTGCGCATGCTCAGAGTATTTTGTAATGTAATGTGTGTGGCAAAAAAATAATGACCAGAGGGGCACGGAGCTACCATCCCCACCATACGTCATCTCAAATCATTCAGAGCTGATTGGCTGTAAGTACGTGTGCCGCGAAAAGTGTGGTGCTTGAAGAGGAGACGAGAGAGCTGCAGTGGCGCGTCCTAAAACCAGGAAGTAAGCACAAAAAAGCAATGAGATTTCTCCAGAGGATTTTAGAAAATAGCTCGAAATAAGATCTGTGGGAAACGTACCTGTTAGATAAATGCACGTTTTGATTAGCCGGATAACATCCACATGTCTACCCTACTTTTATAATTTTTTTATCATAAATCTAATCCATAGATTTATGATAGACTTTTGAAACTACAAGAAGATAAGGAGGACTTTTACAAAAAAGTAATAGAAATGTTTGTCCAGAAGGATAGGAAAATGGACTTCATCTTCAAGTCAAGGTAAGACCGCCATTTTATTGAAAATGGGATCTTACTAAGAGAGAACAATTCAATATTTAAATGATAAAATTACATTTTTTGGGTATCCTTTTGTTGAACTGTCTGTTTAAAATTAATCGAAGCATCAGACAAAAAAAGCTTTTGAAAATAATATTATATTTTGGTTTAGGTCAAAATATAATATTTGTAAACCTGAAGAGTCAGTGCCAGTGCCTCACCAGCCATGAACCTCACTGCACGTCACTGCAGAAGCTTATATATAGACATCTAAGTTTTTTGTGCCCCACCACTTTTGTACATATAAAAACGCCACTGCCCATTTCCAATTCATCATAATTTTTTTCGGGTTTCGTTTACCTCAGAAGTGGTGAAGCTCCTCCTCCCTCTGACTCAGTGGGCGTTTTGTTTTCCTTTCTTCGCAGTGTGTTGATATTATAAGTTTTGTTTTCCAGTGTTTCCATACGTCACTTATTAAGTTTCGTTTTTGATTTGCAGAGTCATAAATAGCAGCTGTGGTTGATCCTGAGACGCATAAGCAACATGTTTTCATGGGGAGAGCACGGCTGCCAGCTGGGAGATGGTTCTAACATCTCAACAGCTGACGGAGTCCCCTTCCTGAACAGAGTCCACATCACGGATCTGTCAGCGGGTCGCACTGTACTCGCCTTCATCCAGGGGGGTGGAGAGGCTTCCGTTATCCACACCGAGGAGAGCGAAGATGGGAGAAGAGTCAAAGGAGAACAGAGTGAGTTATATTCCCTTTTTAAAAGTTCTGACAAAAATAAGTTTATTATTTACAGGAATATTGACATGGATATAAAACCACCTGCTGTGCCTCCAGGTGGGAAGTTTCTAAGTACATTTACTCAAGTACTGTACTTAAGTAACATTTTAAGATACTTGTACTTTACCTGAGTATTTCAATTGTATGCTACTTTGTACTTCTACCTCACTACAATTCCGAGGTAAATTGTGTACTTTAACTCCACTACATTTATTTAATATCTTTAGTGTCTTCTCTTTGCGGATTTCGATGAATGATGTGAAATATAATCAAGTCTTAAATCAGACTTTAGTTAACTTACACCTGGAGTAAATTCACAAGCTACCCTGCAGTATACAAAGTCATTAAAACTAGCTGCACCTTTACCAGCTTTGATAACACTTTAATGATCAATCATTATAAAACATATCATATATATTATTCTGAAATGGGCCAATCTGCACAATGACTACTTTAATTTGTTGGTACTTTAAGTATATTTTGA